TCCCTCCAGTGATCCTGCCTTAATATTGCAGAGCAAAGCAGAGCAGAGAGGGGAGTAACAGAGATGGTGACTTTTTTGAGACTTTCCCTAAGCTCTGCCTAAGGAGTTTCTTCTGCTAAGGCATATCAGCAGAAGCCTTGGCTTTCCTTTCACCTCATCCCAGGAGGAATATATAGTTGTTTTCCGGTACAGGATAAGAAATGGAAGAAATCAAGAAAAAAAAAAAAAAATATCAATATGTGGTGATCGATGTTAGCTAGACTTATTGTGGTGATCGCTTCACAACATATACATATATTGAATCATTATGTTGTATGCCTGAAACTAATATAATGTTTTATGTCAATTATATCTCAATTTATAAAAAGGAAATTGAAGTCAATTAGTACTATCAAACAAGGTGATATAAAATACATGAATACACAATCTTCATTTATGGATTCTTCCCTAAGACTGTCTTTGGAAGAATCCTCTTTTGTTGGTTGACTTTTCTTACTGTGGAAGACAACTCCTACTGCTACGAGCTAAAGCTCCTGACAAAGGCTTTCTGCCATTCTGTATGCCCAGTATATTAGGAGATGACCATCTATAGCTGGTAATATAAGCAGACCCAACTTTCAATACCTTGCCTAATGGTTTGCTCAGGAAAGGAACTCCAGATACTTTAAGTTCATGTCTATCAAACTGAGGGAGGCATATCCCAGGGCATGTACATTACATACTGATGGAACATATTAAACCAACGAATAAGCACTACAGATATTTAGGAAAAAACATTTTTAGAGTCATATAAAAACAGTTATGTAAAAGAACAGAATACAAAGTTTTGTTCATTTCTAGGATAAAACATTAAAATTCAAATAAATGTTGAGCTTACTACAGCCGCCTTTTGCTATAGTACCCAGATCCCAAAAGGCCTGCCTCTCTCCATTCGCCTTTGAAGCTAAGTGGAAAAGTTTGTGAATCGCTGCCTTAAGCAATTACCTAGGTATCTCAGGTTTCTACCTCGGTCCTACACACAAGTCACAACTCTAATAATACACATCTATGCTACCTGAAATAAACTGGAGAAAAACCATAAGAGATGAGCAACAAAATGATGGAAATAATCTGTATACTATTTTGTACTAAAATTTGCTTTTAATTCTAAAAGTAATAATTGTGTCCCTATTAATTTAAAGCTCAGTCTAGGGCAACACTTTACAACTATTATCAAAATTCCAAAAAATTAATCTAGTTCACTTAATGATACTTAGAATTTTTCATTTGCTGTTCCCTCTGCCCAGAACTCTTCCCTTCATTTCTCTACATTGCTGATTCTTTCTCACTCTTCAAATTCACCTTTTCAGAGAAGCCTTTCCTAACCATCTTACCTAAAGTAACACCTTTTCGGTCCTATAAATGTTGTTATCCTGTTTGTTTCCTTTAAAGCCATTATCATAATTTAACTGATATATCATTTTTTATCATTTGTTTGCCTCTTCCCAACTGAATAGGCCAGAATCTTACCTGTTTTATTTACTGCCACATCCCCATCTCTACTGAGTATCAATCAATAAATATTTGTGAATGAAAGACTGCTTGCTCCACAGTATTTATAAATTAAAACAAACAAGCAAACAGGCATTTCTCACAGACTTTTAAAACTCTAAAAAATCAGAGTGTGCAGCTGTTATAACTTAGCTCTCTTTTCTTACAAACCAAAAAGAAACTGAAGCTCAGCAACTCCTTCAAAATCCTTTTAGGATTACAAATTTGGGGTGGAGCCAGGACTAGTCTTCATTTCCCTATCTCCCACTCTAGGGAGCTTTCCAAACCAAGCTGTTGTTTCTTCTGGTTTCACTTTATTAGTGCTACAGGATGTATAAACAGTGTTAAACACATGTGAAAACCAATTTTTTGCTTTTCCCATAAACTGTCTTTTTTTTTTTGCCACCCACAGTAGAGAAATCACATGCTAAGGAGGTTGACTTTTATGCCATGTGCAGAAGAGAGGTAATCCCATTACAATCCAATCCCGTTGCACAGCATAACCTGTGAGCCTCACTTCTGCAGCTGACATAGCCTGAGCAGCCACTATATTCACTAACAAAGACATAAAGTGTGTTTTGAAATCAGGAGAATTAAATGTCATATGCATTGACATCTCACACATCCAAAAAGTTTATTTAATACATACTTCAGAAACTATGCTGATTTTCCTCAGAGATCAAATTTAAACTCAAGTGGCCACAAAAAAAAAAAATCTTAAAAGGAGAAAGGTCATGTAAGCGAGTGTCATAACAGTCGCAAGTCCCCAAATCCACTGGAAACTGCTGGAGAAGGATGTGGTTTACTGATCTGGAATCAGACCTATTTGGCAAACTCACAGGTGGCAGGTAACTAAGCCGCTATGTCTAACAATAAAACATTGCTCCCTAAAAGAAACTGGGGTCTTGTTAAATGACTTCTTTGTAACCTCCTAGAATACTTGAGTATTCTGTGGTGGCTAGGTCAAGGTTCTTCCTTTCAGGCTGCCACACCCCAGTGCCCAGAGTTCCCATGTTTTAAGCCATGGCTCACAGGTCACCTCATTGGAATTCATAGACAGGTTAAACCCCGTCACTGTCTAACCCTCCAACGCCATAGCTGACTTGTCTTCCCTGCGCCAGGACGTTCTTTTTATTTCAAAGTTAGTTGTTTCTTCATGTCTATTTGTCCACCTAGCCTATCATTTTCTAATGTAAACTGAGAGCCAGGACCCTGCTCTTTGTTAACATAAGCCCTAACATCAGCCTCTATTTTTCAATTAAACTGACATAGCCTCTTGCTCCTAGACACGACAATGCTGAAATAAAATTCATACTTGTAGAGAACATGTTTTACTGGGGTCAAATTTCTCAACCATAAAAACAAGGTCCAAAATTACCGGTGCCATATAACATTGGCAAATATTCCTATATGCATTCATTCCATAATGCTATTAATTCTGTATTTTTAAAAAAGAATAAATGATTAGTTTTTAAATTAAGCAAAATGATAGTACTCAAATAATACAAATCCAGAAATGGATAAATTATTAATCTCATTAGTTACCAAGTTTAGAGTATTTATCCAAGCATGAGGCAAATGTTTCTAGAAATACATTACAGTATTTTTAAAAACCTGTGCCAAATGTGTATATAATGCATTATTAGGAAACAGATAAAATAGATAAATAATTTATCTGCACTCAAGAAATAGGACCCTATTTCCCAAAGACTTCTATGATAAAAATTAAAGCAGATGTAGATAACTGTGATCCTATGTACCTCAAGTTTCTGAAGAAATCTATTTGGTTATATATATCGAATAGTCAACAAAACAAACAGTGTGCATCATCAACAATTGCATAGCTAGACAAATTTTTAAGTAGTCAAAATGAAGCTACATATTTAACGCTTTGTAGTAAAATCAACGGTATTCCTACTCTTAAACGAAAAGGCTTTTTATTAAGTTGTTGTCTTATTCTTTACATAAATTAATAAAAACTAATATTCTCAGTAGTAGTTAATAAACCAATACTTTGAAAGATTTTCCACTCGCACATTATCAGTCCACATTATCAGGGTTTCAAGTGAACTGATTATTACGAAACCTCATATTTCATTCAAGATACTGCTGTGAGGAATTTAGACAGGATCATAAAAGTTACTTGTAATTTAAACGGACATTTAAAAATCATTATTTTTAAAATTAACACAATGTTGAATTCTATAAAAGTAAATTACTTTGTTAAAGCAAAATTCCCTTTAATAATTGTACTAATGTACTATTCTAGAAATGCTGACAATACCAGGCACATGGTCATACGCCCTGAAACTGTGAAAAATGATCTCCACGTAGAACGGGCTCACAATTAGTTAGGGCTTTGGTCTGAGCAAGAAGAAGGTAATAACATCACATTGTTATGCTGCATATATAAAGTTAAATCAAGTCATCTGTGGCTAATGTAATGGTCAGCTTCTGCGAAGTGTTCATTCTGTTGTTTCAGGAAAGAATAACCTTCAGCTCCACCAAAAATGATGGAAAAAGGTGAGTGAACAGGCCTTCTAAGACCTGTGTAGAACATATAACAATAAAGAGGTATGTGTATTTGACATTGTCTCAGGTATAAAAAAAATAATTTGAAAAATGCGAGTCAGCTTCTCTATTTAAGCTATCAATTAATGTAGAGACAAAAAGAAGGTCAAGAAAACAATACAATTTTGGGAATTGTGAATCTGACAGGCTAATGGTGTTGGAAAAACTGTACTATAAAATGTCTACCTTTTCCCATAATTTGCATCCTATAAATTGCTTACTCAAATCCGACTGTCAAGTTTACAGATCCTGCCTGAGAACTTTATAAATCCCTACATGTTTTCTTCTCTGAAAATAAACCCATCAACATAAATTAACTAGAAATTTCCTCTTTTTTGGTTTTCTGAAATGGCAAAATTTTGATTAGACAATTAAATGTTTTAATGAAAACAGGAAAACACAAAATTATTCCAAAACCTAGTATGTAAAAGTATTCTTATTCTTTATAAAAATTAGTATAGAAATTAATGTAATACATGTAAATAGTTATTTAATTTTACTAAAGTGATTTTGACAATAGTTCACACTGACTTTTTAATATGGAAGGACAACAATGCGCATATATCTTCACATATGACAAATTTATGTATAAAGTAAACATTTGCTCAAAAATACCCATACACATAAAATAATGACAACTATGTCAAGTATATCCAATTTAGAAAGAAGAGACTACACAAAAATTAAAATACTAATTTTGTGAGGATAGTTGCATTTTGCATTTTTTTCATTCTTTTATACCATTACTATATTGCTTTTAAAATTAAAATATATTTATTTTTTGGCTATAAACATAAAACCATTACATAATTTAGAGCTATTAAATTAAACTAAAATATAATTTCTAAATAAAACTATTATGTAGTTTTAAAATTCATATAAATATGAACTCCACATACCTGAGCCAACCTCTTTTTCCTCTTCTTCAATGTTGTTTTTGATGCTATCATATTCTTCATCAATGGTCTGGTTTCCACGCATCTGAGATAAAATTCTACGGGCCTTCTGAGTCTGTCCTTTCTGAATAAGCCATCGAGGGCTTTCAGGTAAAAAGAGAAAGCCAAAAAACTGTATAACTGCTGGAATTGCTGCAAGTCCCAACATGTACCTGTAATAAAAAATCCATGTATTATTGTAAAATCTGGTCTTATAAGCACCACACTGAGACTATCTAATGCTGAATTAATCAGAATGATATTCTTTTAACTGTACTTGTATATGTGTGTGACTCACCAAAAAGGAGGATATTTTCATGTTATAGTAAGAAATTGAAAAATGAGAAAACTCTGATTCTTAGATATCTCACATAAATCACAATGAAAACTGGACAAAAGTCACAATAATTATGTACATGCATTCTAAATGAAACATATGATGCAAAACCATAATAATCATTCTTATCCAAAACTAATATATGTAATATAATTCTGTATTCTACAATATAAAATGGAATTAAGACAAAACTCTCTGAACTGTTTAAAAGATATATTTTTCTTTAAAATAAACGCCCAAATTGATATCTTTACAGTTATTTCTCTGTGAATGATTAGTTACAATTTCATTTTGCCATCAAGCATCATGTTTGCCCTTGTAAGCATAAGCTCATAGCAGGAAAAAGATACAGTTGGAACAAATAATAATTATTAAAATGATAGAAATGCAAAATAAAAACTGCTCATGTTTTAACTTGTCATCTACTTTAAATGTCTATTCTTAATGGCCAGCAAAATTCTATATAGCAAATAAGCATATTTTAAATCTATCAGAGAAATAACAGCAGTAATATTCATATTAATTGGTAAAGATCTCTGCAAATTATTCTGACCACCGGGCTGTTCTCCTAACATCTCTAGGATTCAATCTTTTTGAACTGAGATTAGATATAAACTTAAAGGTCTCTTTCAACTGAAAACTTCTATGAATCTAGGACACCTGGATGTTTTCTGCTGATCTGAGTTCCCTGGTAGATTCATGATGGCAGAGCTCAGAAGGCCAACTCAGAACGCATAACCACCATGCTCCCTGGTATTCACAAACAAGTGAGAAGTCACCTGACTCAATATGCTTTCCAAAGCTATTTTGACTTTTAAGCTACCTTAAACTCAACTGTATAGCAGCCTCAAAGGCTCCAGATAAAGATCTTAAAAAAAAAAAAAAAGGCCACTATTTTTCAAGCAATTTCACTTTAATTCTGAAAACAGCAGGAAAAAATACAACTGTCACAGGGGTATTAAGAATAACTCCTATTCCAAACAGTAGCTAAAACTACATGTGGAAACAGAAAAATTAACAGAAAAGGATTTAAAAAGTAACAAAACATTTATGAATACCTAACTAAATGAATCACTTGGCCTACAGTATTAAAAAAAATGTTTAATATTTTAACCCATGGTTAAATATTGAATCATTCTTTCCTCTTCTCACCTACAGAACATAATTGAGTGTTTTAACCTCAATTATGTCACTATACCTTGTGTTATAATAAATTCTTTACCTGTCCCACTTGATTGCATATTTAACTTTGTAGGAAGTACAGCACCTAATAACGTGTCTTGAACACACCAGGCACTAGCAAATGTTTTATGAAATGATGCAAAAGTAGCTATGTATCTAAACTTCATGTATTATGTAAAGAGAAAATAACGTTTCATACTCATATAACAATATCTTATGCAGCAACTCTTCTGAGTCGTTCAGTTCTGCAAACTTACTGGCACAATAATTCCTGCCAATGAAACCATTTGTTATTCTAGATCTTCTCTTCTGAAGATGACTCATCTAAAGAAGACTTTGTCAGAATCTTCAGATGAGAGGTAGCGATCAGCTCAGACAAAAATGCCTATTTCTGACCTCTCTTAAAATGTTAACTTCTACCACTAAGCCTGCTACTGAAATGTATGTTTAATTGCTGTAAATGAATAAAATTTCGATTTGGTTGTATTGTCTCTTAAAAAAAAAAAAGGTTATAATAATTGTATTGCCAATTATTTAAAAGAAAAGTAATAAAAAAGTAAACATCAAATATACTGGATTAGGAAATAAATTTTAAAAGTCCTAAAGATGAAAGCCTTTACATTTTGTTTCTCTACACCTTTCATGATCTTTCCTTCTGTTCTCCGTACACCTTTAGAGATGAATTAAGATTAAAGAGCTACACAGAAGACTTCAAAGAAGCACCTGAAATGAATATAGAAACTAAATCATTTTCAGGCTCAAAGATACTCACATAATACTTCTCAGTTACTACTCACTATTTAATGCTAGAACCTAATAGTTTTAAAAACTAAAAGGGAAAAGACAAAATTAACGAAAAATGCAAACATACATATTAGCCTATTTTTCTTAAGCCAGCTAGAGAAGACAGAATACTTTAGCTTTCCAGCTTTGAAATCTGTAAGTCCCAAGAGTCTAGGTCTGAAATTTACAAGTCAATGCTCTAATATGAGGATGGAAAAGAGGAATTCGCACCCTGCTGCCAACCTTTAAGGATATTAAATCCTGATTCTAGAGACTAGTCAAGTTAAAACATGTTTTATACATTTGTATCCTAAAGTTTCTCTTGTAAAACTAAAACAGAGGAACTTATTTTACTTTATTTTAATTACCTTTCATGATAAAAATATTTTCATAAGCATAAATTTCCATGGCTTTGCAGAGACCAAATACACAAGATGGGGGGTAGCTGTGGTTCTGACAGAGAGAGCATAAGAACAGACCTTGGTCACATTTCAGCTCTGAGCATCCTAATATCAAAACCCTAGTCAAGTTACTTAACATTTTAATGCACAAGTGACGGTATCTTTTTCATAGGATTGCAGGGATAATTAAGCGAAATCATTCCGTTGGTACCTAAAACTGGGAGAATGTTCTGCAAAAAACATTTTTACCTCCCTGACTCCTACCCACATCAATTCAATGCAACTTGTCTATTGTGGCTATATCATCTACCCAAACTTTGAGTAGGTAGAACCAATTTCTTTCTTGAGGAAAAACCATTCCCCTGATGATGTGTAGACTGCAGATAAATAGCAGATTACTTTGCTGTGGTACTGATAAAAATTTTACCATGAGACTAAAATAGCAGGAACTCTATAAGCTTAGTTAAGGGCAGCATTAGTGACTCACCGTCATTCCTCTAAATTCAAGGAAATCAGGAACCAGATAAATGACATAGAATATAATGATATGACAAAGAGTATACTGATAAACCAGGGCAGTCAATCCCCAAACAAGTAGTTCCCTACTGATATGGGGGAGCTCATTATTATAAGTCAAATCAAGGGTTCTAAACCCTGGCTTCACAATAGAATCACCCAAGGGGCTTATAAAACACACTTGTGTCCAGGCTCTACCCAATCTGGAATTTTAATTAATTGGTCTGGGCTCTAGTCCCAGGGAATTCTATTTTATTAAAAGCTCCCTTGGAGCTGCTGATGTACAATCAGGGCCAAGAACCTCTGATCTAAGTGCTTTAAAAACTCAGAGAGTTAAAGTGAACAATAAGCATCCAAGGACCACACCTTAGACAAAAGCCCTTTATCGCCTGGAGGGAAGCAAGAGAGCACACCAAGCTGAGAGAAAGGAAAAGCAGGTTGACTCTAGCAAAAATGCCAAGCTTTCCTGAGATCTAAAAAATCTTTAGAATGTTCTTGGGCATCATGATCACTCACTAAAAGACACCTTTTAAAACTTTCTGAACTCAACAAATTAGTTATTTTCTGGTCCAACTAGTCATACCAGCACCCACCTACCAGAAAACTAAGGAGGGCCCCTCAAATGGTGAGCAGCACTTTCAAATAGTAGAGTTGGGCCAGCCATCAACAGAGGAGATAAGCCCAGCTACTTCATCTCAGGTTAAGCCTTCTTCCCAGTGCCAAGAATTGAAGCTCTGTGAATCAAAGGTTCTGCATTTCTGGGTGCTGGCCCTCCCCACAGCAGCTGAGCAGACTGCTGCTGTTGCTGCTGCCATCCGAGAGCCGATATCTCACACAACACCAAACAAGTCTTTCATTGAACTGAACATTCACCATCATTCTTGTTCTGAAGGAATCATATTGCTCTCACCAATGAAACTAAAGACAAGTGCCCTCTAATAGATGGCCACTTAGGACAGAATACTGCAGTTCATAATTGCCCCCTTTCTCTGAACTTATAACATGGTTATCTGATAACATGATAAACATGTTACTTATTCTCTAACAGTTCTACGAGGGTGATGATTATGTTCCAACACATGAAAATCTACTTGAATGTACAAACTCATCTTAAACAGGTATCATTTAGTAGCAATAACAGCAACATTAATAGCTAGTACATAACACTAGTTACTATGTGCCAAGCACTGTTCAAAGGGCTTAAGATACTTTGACTCATAGTTCACAACTCTTGAGGTGGGTACCAGTATTATCCACATTTTGAAGACAAACGAGCTACAAAGAAGAATATGGAACTAGTATGCAGTAAAACTAGGATTAAAATGTAGGCAGTTTTGTTCCTTTAATAAATGTTTAATGATTAGTTAACTTAATTCTGCAGAATTTGTAAAATGGGATATTAATTTGCCTTAGTCTCATGTTTAAAGACTTCTGATGATCCCTTTAGAAGTTTTATTGTTCATTCACCTCTGTTAAATGCAGTAAAGCACTGCAGAATAACTGGGCAAAAAGGCTAGGTGGGAGTAGTCACTTCTAATCTCATCAAGCACAGCACCTGACATAGAAGCACCCACTGGGCTGAGGAACTGTAAGCTGGATTTAACCAGTACAGATCCACCAGTGGCAAATGGAATATCTCATTATTCTCTTGACACTATATTTTACTATGTGTTACTATAAAAATAGTTGAATATTAGTTAAAAGAAAATATCTCATGTGTAAAAGTAAACTTGTACCCTGTACCAAACCAAATTTGTATTTTATTTTTCGTTAACATACATAGGTAAACTTTTCATGTAGGAAACATATAGGTAACAACAAAGTATAGTTTAAAAGATAATTTGCAACAAAAAAAAATTTGACTTTTCACAAATGAGAATAATTTTTTAAAACATTTTATATAACGAACATGATAGATCTGGAGTTACTTTTCTCTACATTTTGTTTTTCAATC